AATGAAAAGACAGACAAAGCACTGATCCTCAAGGTTGTTGCAGAGACCAAGAGGGGAAGGAGGGGAAGGAGGTGGAAAGATCATTAAGGGCTATGGGGAGATAGCACAGTGGGGAGTCCAAAAGCCAGCTGGATTCAGGCCCAGCTGACCGAGCTTTTCCTTCCCACACCATGCTCTTTCCAATCACCTAGACTTCAATTTAGTTTTTGGTGTTTTTTTTTTTATTTTTATTTAGATGTATTTTCCTTTGAGCTTGGCAAATGAATTAAAAAAGAATATTTCAGGTTATTTTGAAAAGTGTTGCCTGGGAGCCAGGTTGTGAAGTCTTGGATGTTCCTACTCTGGCCCAGCTCTGGAGACTGAATTGGGATTCAAAATGTGAACCCCAATTCCATAGAGCATACCCAGTCATCAGAAACCCTCCATTTCATGTACAGTCAACATTTTAGGGGCAATCATTGACTAATCTAGAAATGAGGAACAATTATACCTCACATTTATGTCACTCTTTGTAAAACATCTTGCCAAGCACCCCCTATACGTTTAATCCTTTGATTCTTACCATTTTGTAGAAAGTAATTAGGAAATTATTCCCATTTTACTGATACAGAAACAAAAAAACACAGTGCCTTGTCCAGGTTCTTACAGCTTGTAGAATTTGAATTAGATTTTAGTTATTGGTCCGACCCTTTACGTATTGCCCTCCTTTTTAGTTGAGATCTTACCGCATTGTTCCTGAGGGGTAACGACGTTTCTGATTAATGTTTTATCAGCTTGTGTCACTTAAATGGTGCTCGGAATGTCTGAGGAGGACTGGGATTCTGGGGTTTGAAACCCATGCTTTGTCAGTATCCCAGAAATAAGCCAGCTCCCCCGCCAGCTGAGGACTTGCGTCTTTGTGAAATGTTGGGCAGAGTCTCCCAGTCTCCCTCTGCTGAGCCTTGTGTGACAGGAATTGTTTGGAGGCACTGGGAGAGAACTAGCCTGACTTCTGAGCCCAGTGGCCCTGGCACAGGGAGATTATAGCTGGGCAGTGCCCTTTGCCTTCCTGGTGCTGCTAGTGCCAAAGGCAGTGTTGGCAGGCTGCAGAAGGAGCACAGGGCGTATGTGTCGTGGAGTGCGCAGTTAGGCCAGAGTTCCCTGCAGACCCAGGAGGCAGGCCTGCAGTGACACAGCTGGAGAAGTTGTTCAGTGTCTTTTGTGTGTGTGCTTCCTCAAATGTCCTGCCATCATAGGAAAATGAATGAATCTGAGCCCGGCCAAGAAGAGAGATAATGTGGCCTTACAGTTCTGAAGTGCTTTACTATGTTCTCTTATAGTCTTCCTGACAGTCCTTCAAGGTGCCCTTGTTTTTAAGATGGAGAGTCTGAGGCTCAGAGGGACGAGGTGACGTCTCAGAGTCAAAGAGTAAGAACCCAGGGTGTTTGTCCTGAAGCCCAGTGTCTTTTGTGACATCACCCTTGCCTTCCCACCCACACCCATATAACTTGATAGAGCAGGTGTTCTGAGCCTAGTCAGGTGTCTGTGCAAGCGAGGGACAGAATGGCCGAATATTTTGAGGCTCTCTGTAGCTTCAAGATCACTGATCAGCGGAAAGGAACTCTCACAGCTCTCACATTCCTCACCCTCTGCAGTGTCTCAAAGTTTCCCAGTAGCTGATTATGTCCTCTTGCTCTATTTCCAGCATCTGTTCAGAACTTTTTGAATCTGGCAACTGAGAGGAGGGCTGGTCCAGAGCTTGTCAGCTCACTGCAAGTGTCTACTTCTATGGTACTTGATGACAAGGGTGGGTGGAAGCAAACCTCTAGTGCTCATGGGGCCCTGGGTGCCTCTCTCACCAGGCTGCTAAACTGGCATTTTCAAGCCTGTCTCATTACTCAGAATTTACAGGACCTTGTTACTTGGGGCAGAGAGGTACATAATGGCTTCTCAGCTGAGGATGGACAATGTGATCCTTAAGAAAACATTTGGCTTTGGATTATAAGCTGCTTGCAAAGCATTGGTCTTGGGAAAGGTTGGTGCTTTCTCTAGCCACCCGATTTCCAGGCCCTGTTCAGGAGCAGTTTTGCTTTCAGCCTTCTTCAGGCCATCAAGCAGACTTCAAGACCTGTAGGCCCCCTGCTTCCTGAGCACCNCTGCTGGCCGCTCATGTTGGCTGCTGGCTACACACGGTAGCCCATGGCAACCCACTGCCACAGGGGCTGCAGCCTATGCCTTCGCCGGCGACTCACAGCAGCCCAGCTCCAGGTTGAGCTGTTGTTCAGCATCTTAGCTGTAGAGAGCAGTGTCACTGGCCCTCATATGTGGGATCCGAACCGGTGCCCTCTGGCGTCCCAAGCCAGTTCTTAACCATTGCGCCACTCGGCCGGCCCTCAAGCGCTATTTTTACTTTGTTTTCACTTTGACTAGCTGCTTCCTGAATTGTTCCCACTGAGCCTATACACATTACAGGACGATCAGCTTAAAAAATCATGTTAGCTGCTGGCATGGATCACTGCTGAGTGAGTAGATGAAGCTAGCTGAATCTAGAGGTGGCTGTGATGATGGAAGAATTTCAAGTCTTTCCCACTTCTGCCTGGTGCTAGCAATGTCTTCAGCTTGACCTATGGCATTTGTGAAGGACAGAAGAGTTTCCCAGCCCCTGTCAAGAGGGTAACATCTAAGTTATCTAAGTTGTCACAAAGCTCCCAGTCGACCTTAATTTCTATCCTTTTAAATTCAAAATCTAGATTATTCTATGGTTTTTACAACACTAGACTTAATTTTCTCTTTAAAACTTGGCAGATTGGTGCTTTTGTTTTTGTTTTTAATCCTTGAGCTTTATAAGTTAAGTTTTCCCATGCCTGCTTGCCCATAACGTATTCTGGTCTCATGACTGCTTTTTAATGAGTTCAGTCTGTGCATTCTCTGACAAGTTGGGAGTATGAGTGTGTTAATTAACTATCAGATCTAGCCTGGCTTTTGAAGTCCAGAGCTTTGACAAGTTACAGAAGTATAAATATAATCATAGGTTTTTGCATTTGTTAATTATGTCACAGCTGAAATCTCAGGGAGCCTCCCACCCCAGGATTCTGCTACCCCTGACCCCTGAATGGTTCTGTCATTAACAGTCTCTGGGGACCCATACCCAAAGGAAATGACTTCCTGTTTTGTTCTAAGTGGACATCCTTCCCTGAAACCTTCCTATTTCAGGATGGAGAGAATGAGCCTTCTCCCCTTCCCTTTCACAGGGTAAGAAGGAATGAGGCAAGACTGAGAAAGGTCCTTTTATGACTATACCCATATTGTACCAAATGATACAAAATACTTTTGGGCCTTCAAATCAAATACCTGGTCCTGCAAGAAGCCTGCATGATCGCACAAGCTTAGCCCTCTCACCTCCAATCTATTGGGTTGTTGAAAAATTCATGATGTATTTTTTCTCTGTTTTTCCGTTGCAAAAATGTGTCATGACTTTTCCGACAACCCAATAGAAACACCCTCTCGTTTATCACACTTCCCAAGTACATCTCAGTGCTGGCCTTGGACCAGGCTCTGGAGTCCCAAATGTGAAGCAAAGGATCACACAGTCTGGTAGGAGAGACTTATAGGTCCATAAGTTTACAAGGAACCTGAAGTCTGAGTGGGAGGTCAGGGAGGTAAATCAAGAAAGCATTTGGACTTGTACACCAGTAGGCAGTTCCCAGGTGAACGGGTAGGAGGACGTTGCAGGCAGATAGCCACCCTCTGACCAGCAGGTGTGTCAGCTGCTCTGCTACTTCATTGCAAACTGCCCCATGACTGATCAAACTGTTGTCCCAGTGATATTTTAAGTGTTGTACTGTGGGTCAGTTCTTCCTGTTTCTGAAAAAGTGTTCTCCCAATTGCCTTCTGGGGTGAGTGGCTGCCAATTCTGAAGCTACTCCTAAAGCTTGAAGGTTAACCCATCGGAATGCGTTGTTCCTGAAGAGTCCCTCTCACTATGTATGCCCTCCCCCCAACCTCCCCCCGGAAAAAAACTCGCTTAAAACTGAAGGGTAACACACCTACGGGTGCTTCCAGAACCAATTAAAGCAGTCCAGGGCCTCCTTTTACTCCAGAAAGTGTCCCTAACGAATCAGGAGTCTAGGGTCACCATTCGCGAAGGACTGAGCAAAGTAGAGCTGTGAGTACTAGGGACCGCAAGCGAACCGTCCCCAGAGCCGCGGAAACACGGCGCGGTGCTCTGCGTAGGCGGTAGAACCCAAGCGCTGGGGGCAGAAAGCCGGAGCTCCTCCCATACGGGTCACGTGGGAGCGGCGCTGCGGCGGCGCAGGCGCGGGGTCCACCCCTGGACACATGGGGCGGGGGAAGGTTTGGTCTTCCGACTCCCCGCGTGGGGCACCAGAGAAGGCCGGCGGGGGGCAAGCGCGAGCCGGACGTGCTGCTCTGCGAGGCACGTGAACTCCGCGAAGGCGGCTCCGCCTCGGCTCAGGTGAGGACACCGAGGCAGAATGTGGTCGGTGGTGCGCGGATTGAGTTGCTGGGTGTTTTGGGGCCCGCCCCTCGGGCGCGTCCCGAGCCGGCGAGAAGCTCCTTCGGAGTCCGCCCGGCGCTGCAGCGCCTGCGGGGCCCGAGTAGCCCGTACCTCGCCCAGTGGACGACGTCCCCTCTCGGCCCCCGGCGCTGGTTTGCTAGCCCCACCACGTCGCGGTCAGTGGAAAAATCCCGCGTTTGGGGTCAAAGACCCGGGCCGAGACCCAGGGCGGAACCCAGTGCTGATCTGACTCGCAAGGAACCTCCGTCTACCCCGCCCCCAGGCTTTGAGTGAAGCGGACTGCACAGACCTGCCTGAATTGTTGGGACAAAGAACTGAGAAAAGAATTCTGCCCTGGAGCGTCCGTCCCGGGGCCGAGCCCGGGCTGGGCCTGGGGGCTGTGGGGGNAGGAGGGGAAGCTCACCAGAACTGCTGGAGAAGCAGCTGCTGGAGCATGAAAAACACTCAGCTGTGAGTCATCTCCCCTCGAATGAATGTATGATAACTTCGGGCAAATACATCTCTGTGCGATCTATAAAATAGTAGGACAGAGCAGGTGACCCTGCAGTGACTTCAGGGTTTTGTTTCGTTGTTTTAATTTTTTATTGTGGTAAAAATTCATAACTTAACATTTACCATCTTAACCATTTTTAAGTGTACAGCTCAGTAGTTACATTGTTACACAACAGATCTCCAGAACTTTTTTATCTTGCAAAACTGAAACTCCGTACCCATTAAACAAGAACTCTCCATCTCCACCCCTTGCTCCCTGTAAGCACCATTCTACTTTCTATTTCCATGAGTTTGGCTACTTTAGATATGTCCTATAAGCAGAATCATGCAATATCTGTCTTTTTGTGTCTGGCTTATTTCACTTAGCACAGTGTCCTCAAGGTTCATCCATATTGTAGCATGTGACAGGATTTCCTTCCTTTTAAGGCTGAGTAATATTCCATTGTATATATAGACCACATTTTGTTTATCTAGTCACCAGTTTGATGGGCACTTGGGTTTCTTCCACATTCTTGGCTGTTGTGAATAGTACTGCTGTGAACACATGGATGTGGAAATATCTTTTCAAGACATTGCTTGACTCTCAGGTTTAAGATGCAGTCAGTTCAGTTGCATGTTTTATTACTGCTTTATTTAAAAAACAAACAAACACGTAGCCTCTCGAAGAGTAAACAACTTGAAATTAACACTTCAGGCGCTGCAGGGTGACATTCATTTTGGGAAGTCTGGACAGTCAAAGCTAAGATTTTGGCACTCAACAAACTCCTAAAGCTGCACCACCAGGAGCGAGAACAGTCCTAAATTTGGGCCTTGCAGAGAGTCCTGGGATTCTGTAGCATAATTTTGAACCTCAGTTACAACATTATCTAGGAAATGCTTTCAGCAGAGATAATGGGTATCTATAAATATAAATTATTTGCTGAATAAGCCATGCATTGACTTGATGAAAAATATGAGAGATTACATGCCAGGTGTGCAGAAAAACATCCTTCAAATTCAGTTATGTATCCTGTACCCCCAGGGAAAAACATTTAGAATCCATACATTTTCCTTTGAAAAAAAAGTTTGCTTTAGTCTCCTGAGGAGCATGGTTAAAAGGTCTAGCCAAGGATCAGGTGTGCAGACATGTTCCTAAATATTGGAACCCACCCTTCCAGCACAGTGACTCAGTGGGGTGGTGGGTGATTAATTTTTTAGTATAGGTGTGCCTCCTGGTTGGGGTGCAGAAATAACTGAAATCACTAATCATAGAATCCTCTTTAGAGAAAACTGGAGTGAAATCTGGCTGATCCATTGAAACTTTTCTCTCTGGGTTCACCTCCACAGTCAGAATTCCTATCTTAAGGTGATATGGGGTGAGCCCAGCCATTCTTCTTAATGATGATTGCCAAGCCCTTGTCTGGGAGTGTGGCTATGATAAACAGTCTCTACCCTTGAGGTCTCCGTCCAGTGGGGGAGGCAGAGAAGAGGTAGTGTGTGTGGTAATAGAAGTAGGAACTAACTGTGGGAGCCCAGAGAAGGAAACTAACTCAGGCAGCATGTGAGGAAAAGTCTCACACAGATGATATTGGATCTGGGCCTTGAAGGATGAGGAGAAGTTTTACAGGCAAGAAAGCACAAAGAAGGGCAGTCTAGGCTGAGGAAACAGCATGTGTGCCAAGACATCTTGATGTTTAGAAATGTGTGAGAAGAGTAGTGTGGCTGGATAACAGAGAGCAAGTCAGGCCTTATGAAGGCCTCTTAGTGAAGTGTGATTCCTCTAGAACAGGGCCACAGCACCCCAGGGACCCCTGCCAGGAGCCCCGGGCAGATCCAGTCCCATTCCTGACCTCCCTGGGTGCCCACAGTGTCTGACCAGAGAGAAGCCACAGCTTTCACAGTGAAGCTGAGTGCCCAGAACCAAAGATGGAAAATAGGTACTGTTCGTGGGTGGCATAGGTGTCACTTTCATGGCAACTTGGGGTGAGGGGAAAGGGTGTCCAATCACCAAAGAGGAGATCTTGCCAGCTTTGAGCTGACGTTTCCTCAGGTGAGGCTGAGTGGGCAGCTCATTCCCGCAGTAGCCAGGCCACCCCAGCCACCGACCTGAAGCTCGTCCACATCCCTGGGATGCAGAAAGAGCATTCACTGGCCCCAACCAGGTCTCTAGGTGTCCTGGCAGTGTGCCAGCAAGGGAACGTTGTTGATACTTTGAGATAGCAGCAAGAAAACATACAGCAAGGTGACCGAAGGCGGGGAGGAGCCTTTCGTCTTCTTTCCGAAGGACTAGCTTGGTGGCGACATGTTTTTGTCAAAAGCAGGTTCTCTTTCGTTTCAGAGACATTGATTTTTCTTGTCCCAATGAAGGCTTTTCTGTCTGGGACACATGCTATACTGGACAGGACACCAGGAAAACAGACAAAAATGTAGACAGTATTAGGCAAACCTAGACTCTCTCTGAGATGCTCTTTCCTTGAGACATTTTTAGAATAAAACAGAGAGTCTTTTGGAAGAGTCTCCAATGAATGCAGCAGCCTGGCTCTCTAGACAGATTTCCCTTTTCTCTTTAGGAGCTCTGAGTGTCTCTCCAGCCTCAATGAAAGTGTAGATGATTTTTTAAAATAATAATAATTAAATGAAAGATGGGAAGAGCTGGGGAGAACTATCTCCCAGAGCTGGGTAGGGGTGCCCAAGATATGGAGCGTGAGGACACTCTTATTTTTTTAACATTGTAGCTACTTTCTTTTTAATTACATTGCTTTAAAAATACCAACAGGAGTCTACACATTGAAAAGTAAGTTTCCTTCTTCTCTTTTATCCCTGAGCTTCTTCCTCCTGGAAGGGTAACCATTGTTATCAATTTGCAAGGTTTCCTTCTAGAACCTGTTCTAGGCACATACAACATCAGCATGTTGATATGGACCTACACATAGCCAGACTTAGACAGAGAGAGACAGGATCAGAACTAGGATAGAGACAAGGGTAGAGACACATCTGGTATCAGCTGTTCTTCCTGTTCATCAAGAGCAGGGAACCTGAAGAGTTCAGCTCTTGGGAATGGAGAGTGAGCAGTAAAAGTTTTCTGTTTCCAGCCAGCTGAGCAGAGTTTCATTGGAGCTTCCCCTTGGGAAGGAGAAACAAACCAATGCNGTTCGACCCCCAAAGGGGTCGCGACCCACAGGTTGAGAACCACTGCAGTTGTTTCCGAAGTCAATTTTTACTGCTTCCCACTGGCAGCTGCTAGACGCGCCCTGGGAGCATATGTTCCTGGACAGGCCTGACTCTCACCCCTAGTGCTAATAAGGCTCTCGCATATTGGTGCCACAGGGCCTGAGGATGGGGCCCATGCTCCCCAAAAGGGTGATTCTCTGCTCACACTTTCTGGGCCATAGCCAGGGTTGGGGATGGGGTGGTAAGCATTCTTCCTGGTGGCTTTGGAGTTTGCAGCTTTTACTCCAACTTTTGAACTTGAGGCAGAGAGTCAGGGGCCTTTGGGACATGGACATTTGTATTCTCAGCGTGACTTCAGTGCTGCCAGCCACCTGCAGCCAGCCTGCTGCCTCCCAGCTGTGTTCATTCTTGACCTGACCCAGCTCTTCCATCCTGCCCCCAGGGCCCTACGTCGGCGCCAAAGCCACTTCCTTCTGGGTGCTTCTGTGGCTGCCCAGAGCAAACGTAACTAGCTCTTGGCCCAGCCCTGCGATAGCCACATGTTCATACCTTGGCCAAGCTGCCTCACCTTTCCACTTGAGTGTCTGTCACCTGTGTACCAGGCCTGCATCTCCTTGAGCATGTATGTATCATTTAGTTTATGTCCGCCTAACTTGCCATTTATTGGACAGGTCAGTGCTGAATAAATGTTTGGAAATAAATGTTGAGTCTAATCGAGTCTGATTTCCCTTGTATTCTTGAGCAAATGGGCTAAATGATGGTTGATGGAGCCTGTTAGCCTGGAGAACAGGAGCGGCGTGTGGGAAGGCCGTGGAGCTGGCTATGAGGGTTGCTGGACTTCTGAAGGGCACGCATGTGTTCTGGGAGTTAAAGCAATTCGTTCTGTAGGCTGATGTGAGCTGGCCTCTGCGTACTGATGCAGAAATGTTATCAGATCTGTGGTCAGAGCCCATGCCATGTGCTTCTGCAGCATGCACACATGTTAGAAATCCAGGGACGTTTTAGAAGTGCGTCAAGGCACAGAAATTATTTCAAGCTCTGGGGAATCTTGTTTACAGCAGGCAGGTAAGAGCTGTGGTTTTCCTCCTAATTGTTCCGTGATCCACACATTACTGGAATCCAGTAATGTGTAACTTTGCCACGTAAAAGAATTGGAAGCCAGCCTGTGGAAGGTCCCTGCCTGCTTGGCCCAAGAACTTTGGTTTTCTTAAGTTGTCATCGTCATCATTCAATTCTGTTGAATTTGTTTCAGCAAACATTTGTGGAGAGCCACTGTATACCAAACAGGCACTGTAGTAGGCATAGGAAATTCAGAGATAAACTAAGGAACAGAGACAAAGAGAAGAAACCTGGCCGATAGGTCCAGATCTTTTGTCGAGCACATTAGAAGGATCATGGGTGCAGTTGGAGCACAGTACCAGAGTGTTGGTAGACAGAACCTCCAGGAAGACTTAGTAAAGGGGTGTCTGAGTCTTGAAGAATAGAAGGAATAGAGGTGAGATGTGTTCTGCTTTTGACTCCCACTGTCACTGGTGCTGCCCTCCCACAGTGAGCTGAGGGAACAGAAGCTAGGGCCTGGAGCAGAGCCCAGCTCTCCAAGGCTAGCCTGCCCTCGGGGCCAGCCAAGCACAAAACCCTGAATTCTTCGCACCAAAACAATGCATCTCAGACTTTTTAATGTGCATGTGAATTGCCTGCCTGATCTGATTAAAATGCAGTTTATGATTCCTTAGTTCTGAGGTGACACTTGAGATGCTGTTTTCTACATGATGCCAATGCTACCAGTCCAGCAGGGCCACATTTTGAGTAGTGAGGTTCCAGCTCGAGTCCCTCACATCAGAGATACCGTAGCAGCATCCCCTCCCCCAACACACACACCAGCCTCGCCTTCTCTTTCCTTTTCCCACAGTAATGTGTGGATCACAGATGCAAAAATTCCTCTTTTTTAAATGCTGTTTTCATTCGGTCACCCCCCCTCCCCCCCTCCCAGAAGTTCCCTTTTATTTCTTAACTCAAATCTCAATGTCCCAGGCTTGTTTAAACACTAGTTTGGCCTGCCCTTCTCTTCCCAAAGCCATCCCTACCAAGGCACTCCCAGCCCCACCTCATGGCAGTGGCTCCCTCACAGCCCCCTCCCTTGGCAGTGACATGCAGATTGCCAGGCTTTTGCTTAATTTGGAGATGTCCCCTCCCCAGCCAAGTCCTGCAAGGGAGAAGTAACTC